TTTTTTTTGAGACAGAACATAGTCTGTCACCCAGACTGGAGTGTAGTGGCATGACCTTGGCTCACTACAACCTCCACCTCTAGGGTTCACAAGCGATTCTCCTGCCTCACCCTCCCCAGTAACTGGGATTACAGGTGAGTGCCATCACACCAGGCTAATTTTTGGATTTTTAGTAGAGACGGGGTCTCACCATGTTGGCCAGGCTAATCTCAAACTCCTGACCTCAAGTGATCCACCCGCCTTGGCTTCCCAAATTCCTGAGATTACAGACATGAGCCACTGTGCCCGGCCACATCCACACCTTTCTGGGCTGTTATACAAACACTGTCTTGACCAACCTATGCCCCCATTTTCTGCTCTGCCAGAAGGAGAGACAACAGGCACCCCCCACCCCTGCTCCAAGGAGGCTGTGGGTTGCAATCATGGAGTTCATGCCAGGCTGATTGCATGCCAGGTTGGGGACCTGAGAGTATTGGTGGATCCTTGGGGAATGTGTGTGCTAGAAGCTGCATTGGAAAGGAAATGAGATGAGGGGCCTATGGCTCCCTCCCAGCTTGGAGCCAGTTTTCCTCTGGTGTCTGCAGAGCTTGAAATAAACCAGCGAAGTTCCCGATGCTATAAATAGCAGCTCTGCCTGGCTCCAGAAGCCAGGTGCACTGCCCCACGCCCTGGGAGGCTGGGGCCACAGGACCTCTGCTGTCCACTCTACCCAGCCCCAGTCCCACATCCTGGCCTGGAAGAGGGTCTAGGCTCTGAGGGCTGAGTGGGGCTGGCTGGGGCCACGGCTGCACCCCAGTAATGATAGGCCCAGTGCTGGGGGATGCCCTTCCCTGAAACAGCTGATCTTAGGGATGTGATGTGAATACTAACAGCAACAAGAGCTGGTGTCTATTGAGTGTGAACCAAGTGCCAGACACGGCCCTAAGTGCTTGCCAGGTACGAATTCGTTGAACCCTCAGACCCACCCATTCTCCCCTTTCACAGACGAGCAGGTTGAGGCACAGCAGGTGTGGATCCAGGCGGCCTGTTCTCTCTTTTTTTATTGAGACAGAGTCTCACTTTGTCACCCAGGCTGGAGTGCAGTGGCTCAGTCTTGGACCACTACAGCCTCTGCCTCCGGGGTTCAAGTGATTCTCCTGCCTCAGCTTCCCAAGTAGCTGAGTCTACAGACACATGCCTGGCTAATTTTTTTTTTTTTTTTGTATTACATTTAGACACGAGGTTTCACCATATTGCCCCAGCTGGTCTCGAACTCCTGACCTCGTGATCTGCCCTACTTGGCCTCCCAAAGTGCTGTGATTACAGGTGTAAGCCACACTGGGCCCAGCCACGGCCCATTCTCTTAAGCTCATGCTATACCATGGTTCTTTCGAGATGCGGTCTCACTGTCACCCAGGCTGGAGTGCATGGTGTCATCATAACTCACTACAGCCTTGAACTCCCAGGCTCAAGTGACCCTCCTGCCTCAGCCTCCTGGGCAGCTGGGACTACAGGTGTGCACCATCAAGCCTGGTTAACTTTTAAATTTTTCATGGAGACAGGGGTCTTGCTATGTTGCCCAGGCTGGCCTCCAACTCCTGGGCTCAAGTGATCCTCCCATTTCAGCCTCCTGAAGTGCTAGGACTACAGACATGAGCCACTTCACCTGGCCTAAGATGTGACTTAACAATGACAGTGACTGCCCATCAGGTTGATGTCAGGATAAGTGAATTAGCATCAGAAAGGATGCCACGCACAGTAGGCTTTCAATAAATCTTACTGAAATATGGCCAGGCGCAGTGGCTTACACCTGTAATACCAGTAGTTTGGGAGGCTGAGGTGGGTGGATCACTTGAAGTCAGGAGTTCCAGACCAGCCTGGCCAACATGGTGAAACCCCATATGCACTAAAAATACAAAAATTAGCCAGGCATGGTGGTGGGCACCTGTAGTCCCAGCTACTTGGGAATCTGAGGCAGGAGAATTGCTTAAACCCAGGAGGCAGAGGTTGCAGCCAGCTGAGATCGCATCGCTGTACTCCGGCCTGGGTGACAGAATGAGGCTGTCTCATTTTAAAACATTGTATTGGAATAAATGCATTTGGTCCTGTGTTCAGGGATACATAGTTAAGAGGAAGAACTGGGCAGCAACCTTGAGCCTTTGTGTTCCCATCTGGAAAAGGCAGATGGAAGTGACTGGCTCTGGCCCACTCTGGGGTTCACCCAGCCAGTGTCTATCAAGTCTGGGACTGCTGAATGATTCCATCAAAACCCATGGCTGCCTCAATAACACCACATCAGAAATCTCAGACAACGCTGCTTGCCCAGTTCATCTCCCACACACCACCACCCTGGCTAGACAGGGTTGGGGACCCAGACAAAGGCTCAAGCATCTGTCCCCAGGGAATGGTGGCCTGGCCTTCTGGTGCCCTGGGGTACTCATGGCAGAGCCTGAGGAAGTCTGACTGTAGCTCCTTCCAGGCATTCAGGAACATTCTCCCATTCTCCGTGCCCACCACGAAGGTGCTGTCATCATGCACTGCAACAGAGGCCACCTCAGCATTCAGTTTGGACAGCGCTGAGCACTGTGGGAAGAGCAGGGTGTGTGAGCAGAAGGAACCCTCCACTCCAAACATGGCTAGTACCCGCTTCCGGGGTGGGATGTGAGCTCCCAACTGCCTGAGACCCCAGCAGTGGCTCCAGGAACAGATGGTCCCTACGCTGTTCGTGGTCTTAGATTCTGTAGTGGGATTGAATGAATGACCCTCCATGGATTGGCGATGGGGGCTGGAGGAGGACAGATGTCCTCTGCTAAGGTCCTCCCTCCAAGGTCCTCATCTTCAAGGAAAGCCCACCTTAGCTCCAGCCCAAGGGACAATCCCATACAGGGCTTTCTTGGTCCCTCTCAAGTCCTGGATGAAGAGGAGGTGGGAAGAACCACAGGAGAAGCAGGGATTGGACAGATTAGGGCTGCAATCCCACCTCAGCCACTTCTGCTGTGAGACGTGAGCAAGTCATGTACCTCCTCTGGGCTCCATTTTCCACGTCTGTTTTTTTGTTTTTTTGAGATGAAGTTTCACTCTGTCACCCAGGCTGGAGTGCAGTGGCACAATCTTGGTTCACTGCAACCTCCACCTCTCATGTTCGAGTGATTCTCCTGCCTCAGCCTCCCCAGTTGCTGGGATTATAGGCACGTGTCACCACACCTGGCTAATGTTATATTATAAGTAGATTGGGTTTCACCATGTTGGCCAGGCTGGTCTCTAACTCCTGACCTCAGGTGATCCGCCCGCCTCAGCCTCCCAAAGTGCTGGGATTACAGGTTTGAGCCACTGTGCCCAGTCAGTTTCCACATCTATAGAACTGGGGACAAGCAGCCCAGCTCCACAGTGCCACTGGGCTTGGGTTTGGGGATTCAATGGGTGGAGGAAAAGGATCTCTAAACTGGGCCACTCGATATTGGTATACAGGCAGCTGGCTATGCTCGTGGCTCCAGAGTCGAGGTCTGTAGGCCCATGGCACAGAGGCCTTAATGGGAGGTTCCTGCAACCAACACCACCAGCATCTCAGGTCTCTGACCTGCCTCACCAGGAAAATGCTAACTGTGAAGCCTGAGGCATGCAGTTGTGCCTAATAAATGCTGGTTTTCATCTGAGTCCAGTGGTACTAGCAGCTAGAAAGTCTGGCTTCCAATTGCAGTTCTGTGCTGTGTGACTCAGGACAGGTAACCTCTTTGGGCACAATCTTGCCTGTTGTGCCAGCCCCAGCCTGGAGTCGCTCTGGTTAAGAAGGTGTGGATGGCATGGGGCCAGAAGGCCTGTCCTCCACGCTCCCTACTGGAAAATTAACACCCAGGGTATTCATTTTCTTCTAAGATGCTGTGTGGGAACACTGGAGTGTTAACAAAAATAAAACAAATGAGTTCCACTGTTTTGGTCCGTGTGTGGTGGTTCACGCCTGTAATCCCAGCACATTGGGGGGCCAAGGTGGGCAGATCACCTGAGGTCAGGAGTTCGAGACCAGCCTGACCAACATGGAGAAAACCCATCTCTGCTAAAAATATAAAATTAGCCAGGCATGGTGGTGCATGCCTGTAATCCCAGCTACTCGGGAGGCTGAGGCAGAAGAAGTGCTTGAACCTGTGAGGCAGAGGTTGTGGTGAGCTGGGATCATTCTATTGCACTCCAGCATAGGCAACAAGAGTAAAACTCTGTCTCAGAAAAAAAAAATTCAACTCTTTCTCATCCATCATAGCTGAAAGAGCTACCTCATCTCACAGTCACTGCTCAGCTGAAGACGCCGAGACCATGGCAGAAAACTCACCTACCTAAATGCACCCAGAGCTTGTAGGGAAGGGGGTCTGAGATTGGGGACAGATGATGAAGGCACATCCCTTCAGCCCATGCTTCCTACAGGCCACCAAAGGAACTCTGGCATTTAGAGGAGGCTGGACATAAGTCACTGCTAAACAAATGTCATTGTCACCCATGAGAGTCCCTCAGGAAATGCTTAAGCATAGGGACAGAGGGAACCTGTCTTGTTCACGCTTCCAGGATAACTACAGGGTCATCTGCTCCTCCAAGCAGGCTCTGAAACACCTGCTATACCATTGTTACCTGGGAGAACTTTTTTTTTTTTTTGAGACAAAGTTTTTCTCTGTCACCCAGGCTGCAGTGCAGTAGTGTGATCTCGGCTCACTGTAACCTCTGCCTCTCAGGCTCAGGCAATTCTCTCCTGCCTCAGCCTCTCGAATAGCTGGGACCACAGGCATGCACTATCACACCTGGCTAATTTTTGTATTTTCAGTAGAGATAGGGTTTCACTATGTTGGCCAGGCTGGTCTCAAACTTCTGGCCTCAAGTGAACCTCCCTACTCAGCCTCCCAGAGTGCTGGGATCATAGGTGTGAATCACTGTGCCTGGCCAACCCAGTGTAACTTTCTATGACAATGAACATATTCTACTTCTGCACTGTCCAATCCATAGACACCAGCCACTTCTGACTACTGAGCACATAAAATGAGGCTGATGCAACTGAACAACTAGATTGTTTACTTTGATTTAACTAATGAGAATTTAAATTCATCAGCTTGGCACAGTGGCTAATGCCTGTAATCCCAACACTTTGGGAGGTCAAGGCGGGTTGATCCCCTGAGGTTGGGAGTTTGAGACCATCCTGGCCAACATGGTGGAATCTTGTCTCTACTAAAAATGCAAAAAATTAGCCAGGCATGGTGGCACATGCCTGTAGTCCCTGCTACTCGGGAGGCTGAGGAAGGAGAATCACTGAACCCAAGATGTGGAGGTTGCAGTGAGCCAAGATCCTACCACTGCACTCCAGCCTGGCAACAGAGCAAAACTCTGTATCAAAAAGAAAATGCAAATAGCCACATGTTGCTAGCGACCATGGCATTGGCTATCACTGCCCATGTCAGCCACACTGTGACCACTGCCAAGCTAACAGTGCTTCTGGACACAGCTGAGCTCCTGGGGACCCTCCCCGTGAAGGTTGCTCTGCATAGGGGAGGGGTCATCGTGGACAGTGTGACAGCCAGCCACTTTCCCAGGGGTGTCTCCCACCTCTGCCCCGAACACCACCTAAGCAGCCCTTGAGCCATCCACAGCAGGAAGAGCTTGAAAAAGGCCCTTTGTTTTTCAGGGAGACTTTGTACCCAGAAGTTAACTTTAAAAACTGGTCATGCTTCAGGCAAGCTACTACCCTCTCTGTGCTTCATCATCCTAAAATGCAGGGGAGAGACCAACTGATGTTAGATAGATATTTTATTTTATTTTTATTAAAATTTTTAAAAATTGAGACAGAGTCTCCCTCTGTTGCCCAGGCTGGAGTGCAATGGTGCAATCTTGGCTCACCCCAACCTCTGCCTCCCGGGTTCAAGTGATCTCCTGCCTCAGCCTCCCAAGTAGCTGGGATTACAGGAATGCACCACGACACCTGGCTAATTTTGTATTTTCAGTAGACAAGGTTTCTCCATGTTGATCAGGCTGGTCTCCAACTCCCGACCTCAGGTGATCCACCCACCTCAGCCTCCCAAAGTGCTGGGATTACAGGTGTGAGCCACTGGGCTCAGCTAAAAAAAATTTTTTTAATTGAGACAGAATCTTGCTCTGTTGCCTAGGCTGGAATGCAGTTGCATGATCTCATCTTGCTGCAGCCTCCACCTCCCAGGTTCAAGCAATTCTCCTGCCTCAGCCTCCTGGGTAGCTGGGACTACAGGCATGTGCCACCATGCCAGTCTTATTTATTTATTTATTTAGAGATGATGAAGTCTCCTTTCATCGCCTAGGCTGAAGTGAACTGACGCAGTCTCTGCTCACTGCAACCTCCATTTCTGGGGTTCAAGTGATTCTCCTGTTCAGCCTCCCGAGTAACTGGGATCACAGGCTACTCCACTGTGCCTGGCTAATTTTTGTATTTTTGGTAGAGATGGAGTTTTGCCATGTTGGCCAAGCTGGACTGGAACTCCTGACACCCAGTGATCCACCCACCTGGACCCCTAAAAGAGCTGGGATTACAGGCGTGAGCTACCATACTGGGCCAGATATTTTTTTTAACACCTGCATCACAGAACTTCCCCCCAAGAAAAGGCTGTAGGAAAATGATATTATGATGTCCTCATTTGGGATAAGTTGCTGTAGATCTAGGCATGTAGGCAATAGTGCCAGAGGAGTCATGTGTTATACAAAGTCCCCTTTCTCTCTTCCCATGGCAGATGCAGTTAGAACTCTTGCTTTAATATTGGAAATTACAGCTTGCCTGCCTGCCTTCCTTCCTTCCTTCCTTCCTTCCTTCCTTCCTTCCTTCCTTCCTGCTTGCTTGCTTTTCATTTTTATTTTTGAAATGGAATCTTGCTCTGTCACCCACACTGGGGTGCAGCGGCACAATCTTAGCTCACTGCAACCTACACCTCCTAAGTTCAAGTGATTCTCCTGCCTCAGCCTCCCAAGTAGCTGAGATTACAGGTATGCACCACCATATCTGACTAATTTTTGTATTTTTAGTAGAGACAGGGTTTCACCCTGTTGGCCAGGGTGAAACCCTGTCTTGATCTCTTGACCTCATGATCTGCCCATCTTAGCCTCCCAAAGTGCTGGGATTTACGGGTGTGATCCCTTTGATTTACTGAATCTCACTTAAGTCTCCAACTCTTGACACAGACATCATGGCCCTAGCTGCAGTTGGGGAAGCTGAGGCTCAGGTCAGTGAAAGCTTTTTCAAGTGGCTGAGGTAGGACTGAGCTACGAGGCAAGGTGGGGACGCTCGCCATGTCTCCTCCCCCTGGGATGGTAAGGACACTCACCATGGAGTCTAAGGCAGACACAAGGCTGGTGATGATCTCGTCTTTGAGGGAGAAGGTAGAGTTAGAGCCATTGAGTCCACAGCTGTTGGCAGGGACATCACAGCGCTTGCCCAGCAAGGCCATAGTCACCTGTGGAGAGGGAGGAGGCAGTGGTAGTGGGCATGAGGTGGGGGGCATGGCTTATGTGTCAGCAGCCCACCCCAACCCACCTGGCCCCCACACTCACAGATCTGCCTCTGTATCCAAGGCCGACCTTCCCTGGGCCCACGGGCTTTATGTGTGATGGAATTAGAGCCTGCACAGGTCTGGACACATGTGGCAGAATAATTCACGCCACCTGTGTCCAAATCTGCACCTCCCAAGTCTACACGCCCAAGCCAAGCCCGGTACCAGGACCAGTTTTTTGGGTGGGACCCAACCACCACCTCTCCCCATGTGTGCAGGTCTGGCCACAGCCCTTCCTCCCTCGTATACCTTCCATGGCTCCCTACTGCCCAAATTAGTTCTTGACTTCTCAGCCTGGTATTCTCATTTCCTGGTCTCCTGTAACTCACTCTAATTCCCCCTCACACTCCATGCTCCAGGTCCTCTAAGCTGTGCCACTCCCAGATGTACCAGTGTTCACACTTCCCTAATTGGTGTAGGTTTCATTCTTTGTGCCTCAAGCACCGTTTCTGGACCTGCCATCATCTTCTGGTTGTCCATGAAGCTTTTTTTTTTTTGAGATGGAGTCTTGCTCTGTCAACTAGGCTGGAATGCCATGGTGTGATCTCAGCTCACTGCAACCTCTGCCTCCCAGGTTCAAGCTATTCTCTTGCCTCAGCAACCCAAGTAGCTGGGATTACAGGTGCACGCCACCATACCCAGCTAATTTTTGTATTTATAGTACAGATAAAGTTTCACCATGTTAAACACATTGGTCTTGAACTCCTGACCTCAGGTGATCTGCCCACCTTAGCCTCTCAAAGTGCTGGGATTACAGGTGTCAGTCACTGCACCCAGCCTGAATATTTTTTTAATTTTTAGTTTAATTTTATTTTGAGACAGAGTCTTACCCTGTTGCCCAGGCTGGAGTGACATGGCGTAATTTCAGCTCACTGCAACCTCCCCTGCCTGGGTTCAAGCAATTCTGCCTCAGCCTCCCTGGTAAATGGGGGCATGACTCATGTGGCAGCTACCACCACATGTCCAGCTAGTTTTTGTATTTTTAGTAGAGACAGGGTTTCACCATGTTGGCCAAGCTGGTCTTGAACTCCTGACCTCATGTCATCCACCTGCCTTGGCCTCCCAAAGTGTTGAAATTACAGGCATGAGCTACTGCATCCTGCCCCATCAAAGTTTTTAATTGTCCAACCTGCAGGCCCACCTCCTGTGCCCCCAACCTGAAGCCCAGCTGGGTCAGGAGACTGGGATGTCTTCCAATCTCTTCCACATGCCTCTGAGCTTATCCATCACATTTTTGCATCAAGCCACATGCTCCGAGGCCACTGCCATTGGCCCCAATGCCTCCCAGCCTCAGTTTCCCTCCTAGCAATGATACTTGGCCTCAGGGATATAGAAAGATACAGCAGGGCAGAGGCTGCTTTGTCTCAGGTTGGAGGCTCCCCAGGGCAGGACTCTGTCCCGTTGCAATGCGGTTTCTGGAGAAGAGAGCTGCATCGTCCCCCTCAAGTCCAAGTCCCCACTTGTGGCTCCCCATGGCATGGCACAGGCTTGCTGGGTATAACAGTGCCCAGCTGGGCACCCACAGGATACAAAGATCAGCCTCCCTCAGCCCCTTGTTCTACTCTTGCCCCTCTCCTTCTCAACCCAGGGGTCACTCACAGTCTGCCTCAGTGTCAGGACCTGCCCTCCAGGCAGCTATCTGCACCAATCCAAGTAAGGAAGGCAGAGACCAGAGGCAGTATGGCTCGGCTTCCCTCTCTGGCCTCAGTCCCAATGTGCTCTGTGTTGGCTCTGCTGGGTGCTGATGACAGAAAGCAGAGCTGAGGACCCCAAAGAGCCTGTAAACCTGGTTTCTGTCTCCCACGTACAGACAGTGGGTTTCTGCACCAACAGGATAGGGCAGCCCCAAGCAGGAGGACCATGGTGCTGGTGCCACCAAGGGCACCAGGCCTGGGGTATCTTCTGTCACCACAGCTGCCCCTGCCAACTGGAAGCTCTTTGAGTGCAGAAACCAGGTCTGCCTGCTACTGTTTGCACCGCAGGGCCTGGATCAGTGCCTGACATGTATGGCCAAGGTGGGGGGATTGCTTGAGTCAAGGAGCTCGAGGCTGTAGTGAGCTGTGAGGGCACCATTGTACTCCAGCCTGTGTGAGAGAGCAAGACCCTGTCTCTTAAATAAACAATAAAAATTCTGACGGCAGGGCTGGGTGCAGTGGCTCACGCCTGTAATCCCAGTGCTTTGGGAGGGTAAAGCAAGCAGATCACTTGAGGTCAGGAGTTCGAGATCAGCCTGGACAACATGGTGAAACCTGTACTCTACTAAAAATACAAAAATTAGCCCAGCATGGTTGTGTGCTCCTGTAGTTCTAGCTACTCAGGAGGATGAGGCAGGAGAATACCTGGAACCCAGGAGACAGAAGTTGCAGTGAGCTGAGATGGCATCACTGTATTCCAGTCTGGGCAACACAGTGATATTCCATTAAAAAAAATTTAAAAGGAGGCAGGGTGCAGTGGCTCATGCCTGTATTTCCAGCACATTAGGAGGCTGATGCATGTGGATCATGAGATCAGGAGTTTGAGACCAGGCTGGCCAGTATGGTGAAACCCCATCTCTACTGAAAATACAAGAAATTAGCCAAACATAGTGGCATGTACCTGTAGTCCCAGCTGCTTGAGAGGCCAAGGCAGGAGAATTGCTTGAACCAAGCAGGCAGGGTTGCAGTGAGCTGAGAATGTGCCATTGCACTCCAGCCTGGGGGACAAGAGTGACTTCATCTCAAAAAGAAAAAAAGTAAAAATTCTGATGGTAGCATTGGCCCACATGAGCTACAGTCCTTCCCCCAGCATCATTATTTTAGAGACAAGAAAGGCACTTGCCCCAGGCCCCAGCCAGAGCACAGCAGGGAAGAAGGCTGTCTGTCTCCAGCCACGTCCTTGCTGTCACCACACAGAAAGAGGACCGAGCTTCCCACATTCACAGCAATGCAGGGGACAGACAAGCTGCTCACACACGTTGCTGACACACAGTTGACCGGGCCGAGCTCAACCTTCCTGGGTTTAGCACAGAAAGTTCCATCTCTTTGGGAACCCCTCAGTCCCAGGCCATCTTGGATGGTTGCTAACCTCGCAACGCAGGGAGCAACAGGGACAGGAGCCCAGACACTTCTCTCAGCAGCCAAAAACACAGGCACTAGCAAGGAAGAGAAATATCCCAAATGTAAACGCTTTGGCTTCAGAAAGTCAACTCCCCTTAATAAGATGAGAAACACATCTGTTCACTGCAGCAGGATTCACAATGGCAAAAACATGGAAACAACCCATGAGCCTGTCAACAGTAGAATGGATGAAGAAAATGTGGTGCATGCACACTGTGGAATACTATGCAGTCACAAAAAAAACAAGATCATGTCCTTTGCAGCAACATAGCTATAGCTGGAGCTCATTATCCTAAGCAAATTAACACAGGAACAGAAAAACAAATACCGAAATGTTCTCGTTTGTAAGAGGGAGCTAAACGTTGGGTACACATGGACATAAAGATGGGAATGACTGACACCGAGGCTTCCAAAAGCAGGGAGAGAGGGGAAAAGGAGAGACTCAAAAACTACTTATTGGGTGCTATGCTCACTACCTGGAGGACAAGATCAATTGTACCCCAAACCTCAGCATCATGCAATATGCCTTTGTAACAAACTTGCACATGTACCCCCAGAATCTAAAATACAAGTTAAAATTTATTATTATTATTATTATTATTATTATTATTATTATTGAGACAGAGTCTCACTGTTGCCCAGATGGGAGTGCAGTGGTGTGATCACAGCTCACTGCAGCTTCTGCCTCCCAAGTTCAAGCGATTCTCCTGCCTCAGCCTCCCCAGTAGCTAGGACTACAGATGCCCACCACCACGTCTGGTTAATGTTTGTATTTTTAGCAGAGATGAGGTTTTCCCATGTTGGCTGGCCAGGCTGGTCTTGCACTCCTGACCTCAAATAATCCCCTTGCCTTGGCCTCCTAAAGTTCTGGGATGACAGGCGTGAGCCACCACACCTGGCCTAAAAGTTGAAATTATTAAAATAATAATAAGAAGAACACAAGAGAGTTGAAGCCTCCAAAAGGCAGAGCTGGGACGGGTGGGGGGAAGTTCACTGGAAAGATTCCAAGTTCCAGTCCATGAGGTGTGGAAGAGCTGCTCTCACACCTGTCCCATCCAGCTCCCAATTTTGCTCTGCCCACCTGTGAAGCAAGGCCAGCAGGTACCAGAGCTGCTGCCAACAGCTGCTGTTCAACTCCCAGGCTCCTGGGCCCCACCCCATGAGAGGTGACTGCTTCCTGGGCACCAGGGCCTGAGACATTGTATTTTTTATTTTTTGAGATGGAGTCTCTAGTTCCCAGGCTGGAATGCAGTGGCATAATCTCAGCCACTGCAACCTCCACCTCCTGGGTTCAATAAATTCTCCTGCCTCAGCCTCCCAAGTAGCTGGTATTACAGGCAGCCACCATGCCCAGCTAATTTTTGTATTTTTAGTAGATACAGGGTTTCATCATGTTGGTCAGGCTGGTCTCGAATTCCTGACCTCAGGTGATCTGCCTGCCTGGGCCTACCAGAGTGCTGGGATTTTAGGTGTGAGCCACCGCACCAGGCCCAGACACTGTATTTTAAGGTCACAGGGAAGTGTTACATCCAGCCAGGTGCAGGGCCTGGGTCATCTTCAGGGATGTTCTCTACTCAAGGTTCCAAGAAGCTCAGCCTCCCTGCCTGCCCTCTGCCTGCTCCATGTCTTGCCCAGACAGCAGTAGATTTGCCAGCAGCTGAGAGCTGGAAGCCAGCCCAGACCCTGAGCCAAAGATTAGCCAAGCGCTGTGGCCTCGTCTGAGTCAGTGCTGCCCTGACCAAAGGCAGAGCTGTCTTCAGGCTGGGGGACTCCATAGTAGTCCAGCCCAGAGAGCCCACTTTCTAGGCATCCTTGGAGCCAGGGTGACAGTGAACTAACAGCAATCCAGCTGTGGTATCCAATCCCAAACACCCTGCACTCGGTGCTCAGGACTGGCTAGGAGGCAGCAGGGAGTGAGCTAACAGGTGTGAGCCTGCTCTGCTGCCCACAGCCTGGATGGATGTCTGGGGAAATAGGTGTTCTCACTGGCTGGTTCTGAACCATCTACCCCATGAAGAGCAGCAGCCTAGTGGGAGGTGGAAAAAGGATATGTAGGCAAAGAACAAGGCTAAGACAAAGCTCCCAGCTTGGCCCATGTAAAAAACTACCCTTTTAGTGAGCGGTGGCTCATGCCTATAATTCCAGCACTCTGGGAGGCCAGGGTGGGAGGATAGCTTGAGACCAGGAGTTCAAGACCAGCCTGGTAAACATGGCAAAACACTGTCTCTACAAAAGATTTATCAATTACCTGGGTGCAGGCCTGTGGCCCCAGCCACTCAGGAGGCTGAGACAGGAGGATCGCTTGAGACAGGAGTTGGAGGCTGCCATGAGCTATGATTCTGCCACTGCACTGCAGCCTGGGAGACAGCAAGACCCTGTCTCAAA